AGTGATTACTAAATGAATGGATAATTGAATGCCTGCTGAGTCATTGTGGGTGTTTCTTTTTTAAATAGACTTCATCCTTTTGCAAGAGTATTCAAAAAGAAAATCATCCAAATACGTATGCAGTTTTACTTTTTTTTTTTACCCATTGTTATATTCAACCCTGTAAATCGCCTGTGATCACAATCTTCACAAATGCCCGGCACTCACAATAAATAACCATTAACATTATTTCCCCATTTTCCTATTTCGCCTTCTCAGATTCACTCCTCTTCCCATTTGCGCAGATGATATATTAAAATCTGTGAGCCGATAATCCCATTAATATAGCTCTTGTCTGTATTACATTTATTTTCCTCCTAATCTCCCTCTCCAACTTCCCCTCGCTCTCGTCTTGTCCCTTGGCTGACCCCAGCCCACAGATCCTCCTCTCCAGCCTGAGAGAAATTTAGATTGATACCAAATATAATGGCCATTTGTGGGTTTCATAACAAGCTTCCCAATGGTATGATCAAGGGCGGTTTACCCTGACTGACCACGTCGGCTGTCTTTCCTGGCTGAGGGCAAACTTAGGCCAAACTGAAGACCTCAAGATTTTGGCCTCTGTTACAGAGCTTTATGATTTTCTAATTCCCAGTAGTTACTTTAAACACATTAAGCATCACAAAATGACTGATCAAGTATTTCACTCTCAGAATTAATGCCTGGACAGATGTCTGGCTGAAATGTCTGCAAAAAAGATGACTCAACCACCAACACCACCACCCAAGACTAATCCTGATGGGAATCCTTGTCATACATGCTCTAGTAAAGGTTTATGGTTCTGGCCATGAGTGTCATCCTTATGGCTACACCAGCCCCAGATTTTCCAAACCTGTAAACCCATCAGTTCCACAGCTAAATCCAAATGAATCAATCCCAAACCTTCAGCCAGGCAAAGCGACTCTCCCAACCATCCAAGTGGAGACGATGTGAACATTGTGGCAGCAGTCAGCCTAAATATGATAAGTTAGTTTGTATGCATGTACATGCAATCCTCTTTACATGCAGAAGGGAAGATGGTAGCCCAGAAAGAAGACTGGGTGGGTATAAAAATGACGATTCTGTATCTAATGAAAAAAGTAGGGGAAAAAAATATTTCATGTCAGCAAATTATGTGGTGAATGTCAACGATGCACCTAAATTATACCAACATGACATCAACACATACGTTATTATGTGACTGCTAAATGTTTACAGTCTATGGTGACAATCCTATTTCAAGCTGGTCCATATCATTTCACAATTTGTTTCTTTTCATTAACGTAAACATACTAGTTGTGGCACTAGGTGCACAGTATGATTTGTTTTCATTGTGTGAGACTCAAGCTTGTTTTGTCAAACGAGGAATTACCCAAGCTGAGGGAAACATTTGCTCTTGTTAACTCCTCTAGAGGCTGGTGCAGGGGACATGTCAGCAAGTGAGGGCTGGACAATAAAAGTGAGCCATTGGCTGCGTAAGTGAAAAGTTTAATGTGGCTTTCACTTTGGCGCATAATGTGTCGCGACCAATGAAGCATTTCCCATGGTTCACAGGGCTCTCTGTCAGCGGTGATGTAAAAAGGCCTAGAGGCAAAGACCTGCGTCTGGCCTTTTCAACTGCTGCCACGCAGTTTTAATTTGCGCCTCTGTGGAGAATCGGGGGGAGGAATGAAGGGAAAGAAGGAATGAGAAAGAGGAATGTGTCTAATGAGCGAATGTGTTTTAGCCAAGAGAAGAAAGAGGAATTCAACTAAAAGCAACAAAGGAATTTGGAGAATTTTTAATGAATACAAAACCAGAAATTGGCTTTTATGTTTCAGTTTTTGAATAAGAAGTAATGAATAACATAAAGAAGTGGAAACGTATGCAGCATTTCACATACCTAATATAATACTGATCATTATGTTTAAATTTTTAATAAATAAAAGACCTTTTTGTTCAAATTGAGCAATACACTACTAAAACCTTGTAATATGAGTGTGTCTGCATGACCAATATATATATATATATATATATATATATATATATATATATATATATATATATATAGAGAGAGAGAGAGAGAGAGAGAGAGAGAGAGAGAGTACACCCCTCACATTTTTGTAAATGTTTGATTATATCTTTTCATGTGACAACACTGAAGAAATGAGACTTTGCTACAATGTAAAGTAGTGAGTGTACAGCTTGTGTAACAGTGTAAATTTACTGTCCCCTCAAAATAACTCAACACACAGTCATTAATGTCTAAACCGCTGGCAACAAAAGTGTTTCTTCAGAGTTGTTACATGAAAAGATATAATCAAATATTTACAAAAATGTGAGGGGTGTACTCACTTTTGTGAGATACTATATATATATATATATATAATATATATATATTTTACATTAAATGTACTGTCTGTATAAAAGAGGGATATTAATTATCGAAAAACACCACAAAGTCTCCCAAAAGCTTCACTTCTAATTAAAGCCCGGCCAATCAAATGGCACAGATACATATATAAGCTGAATAAAAGCCTTTATTAAAGCATCTCATGCAGAATCATGGAAAAAAAGTTGTTTGACCGAGTCGCTTCATGGCCCTAGAGAGATCAAATGATGAAGTGGAGCAAAGAGTAATTGTGATTGTCCTCGCTGAAGGTCCAATCACACATCCATTTCTATTTAAGGTCAAATATGTATGAAGATCAGACAGTGAGAGAAAGCAGAGAGAGAGAGAGAGAGAGAGAGAGAGAGAGAGAGAGAGAGAGAGAGAGAGAAGCCTCAGGGTTCTGCTATTGAACATATCCCGGGCACAATCCAAACAAAGCTCTGGCTAACTTTGTGCATGCAATTATAACTATTTCAAATAATTTGTTCTGTGCTCCTTGACCTGATCAAATGTAATTCAAAGTACAGTGAGTTAAGTGTACTTGATAAGGTATGAAAAAAAAAAATCTTAAGTAATTGCACGTCATTACAGTAGTGGAAGATTTATACTTTACTCTAGTATTATTGAAATTGAATACTTGTACTCGGCAAGAAAATTTATATGGGGAAAAAATCTTATAAAAATTCTAAAATACTTTTTACTTCTTACAATTTCATTTTGACCTTCAAAGTACTCAAATATTTTTTCCCACATATTTTTCTCTTATAATAATAATAATAATAATAATAATAATAATAATAATAATAATAATAATAATAATAATAATAATAATAATAATAATAATAATAATAATAATAATAATTATTATTATTATAAGAATAATAATAATACTTATTATTATTATTATTATTATTATTAGTAGTAGTAGTAGTAGTAGTAGTAGTAGTAGTAGTAGTAGTAATAGTAGTAGTTTTTTTAAAATGACTAAACATTAGTCAATGAGCAAAGCCAAGTTCTAGGTTTGTCTGTAATGGCATAATATTAAGCAAACAAATTTTTTGATCAGCAAAATAGATTTACCGTGATATTTACTGCTGAATATTTGTGCAGATTTTAACTGAGTAAGATTTTTCACAGTACCCACACTTAAATAGAGATTTCTATAGGTTTTCTACCCCTGATCTACGACTGGCACAAATGTATACTCGAATGTGCTTGTTCAGCACTGATGCGGTGTTTTTATGTTGCTCTCTCTCTCTCTTTCTCTCTCTCTCCATCAGGTGTGAAGCCACCCCATACTTCAGCCCCACCGCATGGAGGAAATGAGGGGGAAAATGATGATCTTCCTTCCAGGCCTGCATTTTTTTCCCCTCCACTGCATTTCCCTCTTTCCTCGGAAGGGATTGTCTGCCAACAAACAGGCTCTCCAGCCAGGATGACAGAAAATCGAGGCTGTGGTCGGTGAAATCCTCCTGTGCATTGGGGCCTCTGTCTCTAAACACAGGGTCAGGTGTCAGCCCTGAGCTGCCTGCCAAAACATAGTATGCTTTAAAAAAAAATTGGCCTGCCATTGTTTCTCTGTCAGTGTCAATCCAATTATGTCGCACGCAAAGCGCTGGCAAAACAAGCAGAGAGGTATCGATCGGAGCCGGCCCTCACCTGTGGTTAAACTTGTGGGATGGAGAGAGGATTGAGAGGTTAGTGTGTACATCATATTGAATGGCTTAGAGGGCTGCTGAGAGTTACACTGAATGCATGCTTAATAAATAATGTGTAATTTATCATAAAAAAAACCCCAAAAACTGTAAGTGCGAGTGGCCCATGCAGTACTTCTTTTTAATAATCCTACATCGTACATCATAAATAAAGTCCAAATGAATTATGCCACACTTTTATAATATGCAATTTGGTATTTCCAATAGATACTAGTATGTGTGATTATCATATGTACAGGAGAAACAGGATAAACCATTTGTTTTGTCTAAATGCACTAAACTTGTGTGCCTGTTTAAAAAATAAAAAATTTATTTATCCTAAATCCTGCTTTAAATTTAAAGCAGGATTTATCCAGACATGATGGAGATATTTGTAAAAACCCCATTTTGAACCAGGTAAGTAATAAAAAAAAAAATTCCTTACATGTAGAAAAATTGGGCGCACGGTGGCGTAGTGATTAGCATGTTTGCCTCACACCTCCAGGGTCCGGGGTTCGAGTCACGAAAGGGCTATGTGTGTGCGGAGTTTGCATGTTCTCCCCGTGCTGTGGGGGTTTCCTCCGTGTACTCCGTTTTCCTCCCCCAGTCCAAAGACATGTATGGTAGGCTGATTGGCGTGTCTAAAGTGTCCGTAGTGTATGAATGGGTGTATGAGACTGTGTCCTGCGATGGACTGGCACCCTGTCCAGTGTGTACCTCGCCTTGTGGCCAATCACAGGGACCTTCAAGCCCGAGACAGGGGACACTATGGACAGGATGCCAGTCGGGCATAATTACACACACTACAGACAATTTGGTAATCAGCATACAATGCATGTCTTTGGACTGAGGACGAAACCGCAGTAACTGGAGGAAACCAATCGAGCACAGGGAGAACATCAAACTCCATCCATGCAGTGCAGAGATGGGATTTGAACCCCTAACCCCAAGGGTGTGAGGCAAACACGCTAACCACTAAGCCAGAGTGCTCCCTTGATTACTATGATATAACAAAAAATATGAGATGAGAAAAATTAAAACAAAAAGGACAATGCAGAGCTCTGCACCTTCAGTCGATGTTCTGCACCTACAGAACATGTTCAAATACATGATTGATCTGTGTCTAGTTCTCTACATGATGTACGTGTGACTGACCGGAAGGTTGCAGGTTCAAGCCCCAGTACTGCCAGGCTACTACTGTTGGTACCCTTGAGCGAGGCCTTTAACCCTCTCTGCACCAGGCGGAGCAGGATCATGACTGACCCTGCACTCTGACCCCAGCTTCCTAACATTCTGGGGTAGGTGAAGAAAATAATTTCACTGTGCATATGTATACGTGACCAATAAAGGCTCATTATCAATATCATCAATATGTGCCACTTTGCAGATGGAGTTATACCTCAGAGACTCACAGATTTCAGTGAAAATGTACTTGTTAGGCACGTGATGAAAGAAGCAAACATGCACGATGTTATGATGTGGGAAGTATGAACAAACTACTGTTGATTTGTTTAATTTAACTTAAACAAACAGACAAAAAATGTCACTATTGTATTCTCCTCTACAGCATTCGTAACTGATTTGGCTCCATTGGTTAACAGAGTTGTTTTGTTGTGCATAATACATTTATGGGATAATATCCATAGTGGTGTTAAGTAGCCACAAACTAAATGCATTGCCATTCTGAATTATTCAGATTAACTCACTGCTCTAATGCTTCTTAGGCAACGTGGCCCTATACTGTATACAATATATACCTGCACAGCTACAGCGCTTCCATAAAATGATGCCTTTACTGCTTGTGGCATTAAGCTGCTTAGCTGCATCATAAAGGGGGAGTAATTCATCCTTAGTAATAAAGAGAAAAATATGGGGAGCATATATCCTATATAACAATATACCTCGTCAAGATAAATTAAACATGCCTCCGTGATTTACAAAGTACACCTATAAATTTCTGTAATATTTGATGAGCAAAACATAGCAGAGATGTGATGCCGAAGCTCCTGCACCACAGAGGCTGAGTGTAATAAATGTATGACACTAGGCGGATGGGTCCTGCCATAGCGTCACAAAGTGCACTGCATCATTCGAATACCAATAAAGCCGGGGCTGGCCGTAGGTCTTTGGAGCATAAGGAAAGTTATGGAAAATATTTCTCTCCCAAGGACATGGCACCAGATGTGCAAAGACTTATGGGAGCAATCATAGGTGGCCAAGGCTTGGGCTCTGGGGCCTTATTAAGTTAGGCTGCGTTCCAGCACCTTCAACTTATTAAGCTGTCAAGAGTTGCAATGATTAAAACCAAAGAAAGGTCACGAGTGGACCTTCACCATTGTACAAAGCCTGATATTTTCTCTAGAAGCACATGGCCTAATGAAGACATTTTACTTCATATGCACAGGTGGGATTTGATGAAACGGCCCTTTAGTGATGAGCTGCTTTTCTTTCCTACCGCATCTGAAGTGCTTCAAAAGTTTTTACACTTTTTTTTTTACTGCCCACTTTTGCTTCATTTCAGGTGAAACTCTTAAGAAATTCATTTATATGAAAAGGCACAATGAATAAGAGAGAGAGAGAGAGAGAGAGAGAGAGAGAGAGAGATGTAAAGGAGAAATATTAAAACCAATTTGCTCATCCAAAGCTCCAGCAAAATGGTCTCCATTTCAGATCCTCCGAGATCAAAGTAACGCGGACCTGCCGCTTAGGTACGCAGATGGAGGCGCCAAAGCACGAGTGGAGCTGTCTGCTAAATATCAGTCCCTTGTTGTGCTGAGGGTGGGATTGTAGCGTCTGCCAGCTCCATGTTGACGTCCTGCGGAGATTAAAGAAATGTGGCACTGTATTGAAAACTATTGTATCACTTAGCATCCGTGACTCCATCTGAAATGTATTCACCTGTCACCCCAGATGATGCCGTGCGTCAAGTGGATCGGTTTGAGGTTGGATGGAGAGGGCAATCCACCTGGCCGAGATTCACAGAATACGGCCCAGACAGCCAAATCTGTCTATCAAGTGACAACGACGCTCTTGTTTTATTCATTGCTATTCCAGCTCAGACAACACATCACTCATAAAATCCGTCCTGCACGAGTCTGATCTCATCTCTCCACTGCAAGTAACTCAGCATGCAATAACACAAAAGTTCACTAAACTCTATATGGCGTAAAGAAGTATTTTCAGCGCAGAACGTAACACGTGCACTCAGTTCATACCTGCTTTTAGTGAAACAGCTCTCAATATTGATGAAACAAAATGGAAAGGGGAGGAGGATGGGGCACATGTCTCACTGCAAAGTGTGTCCTTGACATCTTGGTAGATTGGCTTCTTTTCCTCTCCCTTGCTTTGCCCAGGACACTGTTAGAGCTGCAAAATTGCCTATGATAGATATGTAAAAAGGGGGTCATAAAGTCCTCCGTCATTTCATTGGTTTAAGCAGACATATAGGTCTGCAAGGTTGCTAGAGGTAGAATATGACCTCTAAAACTATTTTCCCGTATTGAAGAGCACACATTGCTACACGAGAACAGCCCACATACCAGGGACTTATTTAACTGCTCTTGAGGCTAGTTTAGCTGTCAAACTGAATTGAGAACATAGCAGCAAATATGGGTTAGGAGCACATAGTATGTGATACATTATCACATATATTTGCACTTAACGCTTCAATATAACATTCTGAAATTACTTCTGTCAGTGACCTTACATAATATCCATCATCAAATCCTCCTCAGCAGAAGACACCTTCAGAAAGCAGTGTATATTTATCTTTATTTACATTCACATTTTGCAGCCTTTTGGCAGACGACCTTATCCAGAGTGACTTACATTTATCTCATTTATACAACTGAGCGATTGAGGGTTAAGGGCCTTGCCCAAGGGCCCAACAGTGTTCGCTTGGCAGTGCTGGGGCTTGTAATCCTGACCTTCTGACCAGTCACCCAAAGCCTTTAACCACTCAACAACATTTACAACTCTGGCCAACAAATGGTGCAGCGTACAGTACAGGCTGAGAAAATCCGAAAATAAAAGATGAAAATTATTCGAACCAAAAGGACCCGAGTATAAAGTCAAAGCCGCTGAGATAACACTTCCTTAGGCGGCAAGTGTCCTAATTACTCCTATGTGCCTCACAGGTCAGGTAGCGCTGCCAGTGCTAGCTTGCTACCACCAGAGCATTCTGCATGTCGTATTCATGACATTTTATTGCACGTGGCTAAACGTTCTCACTTCTGCCCTGCTCTTCCTCCATGGATTCCATGGCCTACATAGAAGTTTTTACCCTAGGCCTATGGTGTTACTTTATCTTTTAGAAGAACTGAGAAGAGGAAAGGAAGCACGTGGTAAACACTCATAAGCAAATGCTTCTCGAAATTGAATATTGCTATAACTATTGAAATATCTATATTCTGTATGTATGCTGAATAGTTCATATCGTGTGTGCCCCCCCCCCCCATTTAACCATCTGTAGTTTGACAGTGCACCGCTAATACCATTGTGATATTTTACGTGTTTGTTCTGTGGGATCCATCAGCATTTTGAAACATCTCGACACCTTGTTCTCTTTTTCTAATAGCTCCCTGGGTACTCGTTGCTGCGCTTGAATCAAATTGCCTACGGAAAGCTGCGCTGCTTCCCGTCTCGAAAATGCGAAAAAAGATATGCAGAACACGTCACTTGAAAGCTCAGTACTGTTTTCCAATAATGTTTCGGCTTATCTTTTAAACAGTCTGCTTAAAGATGTAAATAAATATATAAATGTCAGGAAAGAAACTTTATAGCCTCTGTACTTGTGAGTTTGTGCTCTGGGCAAAAAAAAAAAGTAGAAGAATTAGAAAACCAAGCTATTGTGCTAAGCCTCCATTGCATGGAGACTTATCACCACGGTGGTGCTAGATGGAGCTTCACAGCATGTTTTTGAGTGAATGTAATATGTAGAGATGTTAGAAATTGCATTTTTATTACAATGGGGGCGTGAGAGATGCTCATTTAGAGAGATAAGCATTGAGGGGGCGTGCTTGGGAGAGGCCTGCTGTGCTAGCATTTATGCTTGTTTAAAACAGTGTGCAGATAGCACCATCACTTCATTTTGAGATGTACAGGATGTGAGACAGCAGGTGATGGTGTTTTAATACATGAGGCTACTGGCTGTTATAAGTATTTGCACATTATTTTGTCTGCCTGTGGGCTGGACCTTCTAAGAAAATATAGTACTAGTCCCTGAAACAAAGACTTGAGGCTCATTTCTTGTGCAACTCAACTCAAGGAGGAGAAATTATACTCACATTCACATGGGAACGTGGGTATCTTTTAGAAAGCAGATGATTTTTGCAAGGTTATGGTATACTGCAATACACAGCTAATGTACAAACTACGGATCGTATTCGGTCAGTGTGTGGAGGGGAAGTTAACAAGTCCCTCCAAGAAACCTCCGCAATATTCGGAGGAGCTTGCGATTTTTCAAAATTACCGCAGATTTGTACCAAGATGCGTCATCTGACAACATAACAACGAGCATTCAGGCAAAGCGTCACATGCAGCGAGCATGAGTACAGCTAATCGCCCCGCTGAAAAAACAAACAAACAAAAGAAACCATCACAGAAATTCTAATGTAGTTTCCACTACAAATACCACTACAAACCATCAGCTAACCATCAAAACCATTACAATTACTGGTCCTTAATGGTATCCACTAGATATAACATGCCACCAATAGAAGGCAACAAATTGCCACAGGGACCATTACAGTTTCCTTTAAAACCAATACGATTCCCATTATAACCATTAAAACTTTCTATTGAGGCTTAGATATTTTAGACGAACCAAAAATTATGCATGATAATTCAGATCTAGACATATTACAGACACCATGGGAGAAGGTCCCCCCGCCCCAGGTATAAACCGTTACACAGATCGAATTGCACTTTTCAAAATAGACTCAAGTAAGAATGATTTGTGTTAGAAATGGGAAAATTCCCAAAGTACTCAT